GAGGACAAGAGGGTGTGCTCTGTGTTGAGTGTTTTATTTTGAGCCTGGCATGGTTTGCTCATGACCTAGTAGACAGACAAAGAATACATGTACCTACCATTCTTTCTATCTGTAGAAAATCTGTTCATAATTGAAGACCCGGAATGAAGACTTTTTTTCCTTTTGTTCCCCCAGATTTACTGAGGTATATTTGAGACATTTTATATATTTAAGGGATATAATGTCAATGTTGGATATGCGTATATATATATTGTGAAATGATTACTACAGTCAAGCTAATTCCCACATCCATCACCTCTCATTGCTAGCTTTTTCTGTGGTAAGAATAGTTAAGATCTGCTATCCTAGCAAATTTTAAGTATATTATATATATTAGTAATGGTATATTATTATATATAATTATATCATTAAGTATACATTCATTATACTGTACATTGGATCCCCAGAGCTTACTCCTCTTATGACAAAGTTTGTACCTTTGACCAACATCTCTCCATTTTTTTCCATTCCTTAACCCCTGGTAGTCACTGTTCTGCTCTCTGGCTCTATAAGTTTGACTTTTTTAGATTCTACATATAAATAAGATCATGCAGTATTTTTCTTTCTCTGTCTGGCTTGTTTCACTTAGTATAAGGTCCTGTGGGTTCATTCATGTTGGAAATGGTGGGATTCTTTTAATGGCTAATACTCCACTGTGTGTGTCTACATGTTCATATTAGTATCATAGTTTCTTTATCCATTTATCCATTGATGGACACTTAGGTTGTTTTCATATATTAGCTATTGTCAAAAATACTACAGTAAACATGGGAGTACAGATAACTCTTTGAGATGCTGATTTTATATCCTTTGGATATATACCAAGTAGTGGGGTTACTGGATATATTTTTAAGTTTTTGAAGAATCTTATATTATTTTTCCTAATGGCTATACCAACTTGCATTTCTACCAACATTACACAGGGATTCCCTTTTCTCCACATCCTCACCAACAAGTGGCACTTTTTTAGGCAGCTTTTTGTGATTCTTAGACACTTAAACCAGTCCTTGTCATATCATTAGTTCTGCTGATACTAAATGAAAGTAACACGATTTTAAACTCCCTGGAGGCAGTTTTCTTCCTGTATTGTATGGTCTTTACATCTAGCACTGTTCAATATAATGAGTACAATATGGTGTTGTAACAATCAAATAAGGTAATGTTTATGAATGCAATTTTTAAAGTATAAAGATTTGCAAAAGTACAGTTGCTCTTCCTATATTAGAGCTACTCTCATGGAAACTTAGATATCAGTTTGGGGTCTTTTAGGAATAGTGAGAGAAATAGCTAGTTTAAATATGGTCCAATGCATGTTACTCAGCTCTCTATCGTTTCTTGTCTGCTTATGTCCAAAGTCTTCACTAGATTTAAAAACAAGAATTTTCTTGTTTGAATGCATAATATATTGTTGCTCATCTATCCTGCATGTATTTTGACAAAGGAACAAAATAGTTTTCTGTGACTGAAACCCAAGTTTGACACCTGAGCAGTAAAGTCATTCCCCTAATAACACCAATTGATGACAGACTGACCGTGCCTTTTGCTGTGATGTCTGTGCGTCTTGTAGATTCCTGGATCTGCATTTATGGTGAGAAATAGACATCTGACTTCCTTCCCATGCCCCTCTCCGCAGACAGATGAGGCATCCACTCGCCAGCTGCAGTTTCTCCTTTGAAATCCGTCAATGCCTCTTGCTTGAACTTTGATGTGTTTCCATATTCCAGGGAGCTGAGGATTCTGTGATATGGTAATGAATCCTTTTTGGGCTTTCCTGGCCTGGATTAGGGTACATAAAGATGCTTGAATTAAAAGGCAAATACATTTAACTGATAATTTCTGTTATAAAAAAAGAGATACAAGAACACTTTATTTTTAAAAATATAGGAGAATCTTAATTAGGTTTTATTACAATGCCCATGAAATTTTTATAGAAACTGAGATTTAAGTCCTATGTCCTTTTTTTTTGGTGGGGGAAGGGAGGGATAATATTCTTTTGAAATTATTTTGACTTAACAATTGCTGTATTTATATGATATTTACCTTGACAAAATTTGGAAACTGCTTCTAAGTTGTCCACCAAAAGTTTGACCTGCTTTCTCCAAAATTGAATGCATTTGTGTTTTGCCAACACTGAGTATTATTAATTTGTGCTCTAGCACTTTCTTGTGGAATCAAGCTGAAGCTTGATGTCTCTCGCTGAGATGACATTTTTGCTTGGCATTTCCCTCCTGTCATTCTCTTGCTTCTCTCCTCTTCAATAAGTAATTTGAACAAGAATTTTTAACCTCAGCTCTGTTTTTAGGGAACCTAACCTAAGACACTTGGTTTAAGGTGGCAAAAATTGAAACAAAGAAAAGAGACGGACTTAGGAACATTTTAGAGAGAGAGTCTATAGGAATTAATCTGCAATAGAAGAGAAGAAGAAGTCCAAACAGTTCCTAAATTTTATTATTGAACAAACTGCTGGGTAATGCACTATTTACTAATAGGAGATGTCTAAAAGGAGCAGGTTTGCAAGGTTGAGAGGGAAAATTGTATTTCAGATAAGTTTGAAATGTCTGTAAGTGGATACAAATGTCAGGTAGGCAATTGAATGTACAAATATTTTGCTCCAAATGGCAATCTAGTCTGAGGATCTATATTTAAGATTCAACCATGGTATTCAAATGGTATTTGAAGGAATGTGTCTGAATGAGGGTACTTCATGAGACTATAGAAGAGAAAGTTTCCCAGGGCTGTTCCTGGTATGACATTATCTAGAGATTGAAAGAATAAGAATATCTAGCAAATATATTCAGGAGTAGTCAGTAAGTGGTGAGGAAACCTTGAGAGGCTGTGTCACAGAAATCAAGAGGAAAAAGTATTTCAAGGAGGGTGCAGCCAACTGTTGAATGCAGCTGAGTAGTTCATGAAGATTAAATCAGACAACAGATCATAAAATATGGCAACAGGGAAAATATTGGTGACCTTGACAGGAGAAGAGTTTGACAAAAAGTATTCTGAAGTGATGAAAATGAAGGCCAAGGAGAGACTGAGAGATGATGAAGCAGATACATAGATCTAGGCAACAATTATTGCTGTGAACAGTAGTGAATGAGGTGATGAGTCAAATGGAACAAAGAGTCCAAGAGTATTTTTAAAAATATGTTTTTATTAATTTTAGAGAAAGGGGGATGGAGAGGGATAGTTAGAAGAAATATTGATGACAGAGAGACATCGATCTGTTGCCCTACACACCCCACCTTGGGGATCGAGCCTGAAACTCTGGCATGTGCCCTGACCAGGAATCAAACTGGGGACTTCTTGGTTCATGGGTCAATGCTCAACTACTAAGCAACACCAGTTCTGCATGAGTATTTTTTTTTATTTGCACCATTAGAAGGGGAAATTTATTTTACAAAAGAGAGGGGACAATATCAAAAGAAAGTCCTTTAATAGTGATGGGACTTCATTCATGAGCAGAAGTCAGCTCTATCCTGAGGCAGAAGCACTTCAAAA